AAGATACAGAAGTAGTGAGGATTTCCCCATTCTCATTTAGAATCCGTTTATGTATGCTATTCCACAATTTGGAGGCCAACATTTTCGGTCGAACCCTAAAATTACTAATACCAAATTTAAACCCCACATATGCGTGTATAGTCTCCAAATCTTCTCTCTGCTCTCGGACTTTGTTCTTTTGAATAGAACTGTTTGTATACTTTAACAAATAGTGATTTTAACTTTGAGATAAACTGCTAGATTATTATATTTTTGTACCAATGTTCACCTAACTTAACGTCTCTCACTGACACCATCACCCGGCAACCAATTTTAAAGTATAATTTATTAACGATCTGACTACAGACTGGCGGTCAACGTTCCCCGTATAGTAGCTCAACGGAGGGGGTAATCAGGGCACGTGTTAATGAAAAATGTACGTGTCCTTCCACAATCCCCTCTGTTGGGTCACACGTTATTGGGAACTGAGATCGCTATCGTGTAACTAGAAGCAGTATGTGCAAAGTAACTTAGGTGATAGGTGATAGGCAATATGAAATTACACATCTTACTTTAACTTTATCCCGTCACCCATGGACTTATCAATTAACGGCTGGTGGTGGTGTCATCGTTTGTCGTACTCAAAACGTTTCGCGGTTGCGAATGCCGGCCCATCGAGGAAAATCTTTTTACTTTGTATTTTAACCATTATAAAGTGTGATTAGTCGGATATGGTACTGAGTTCAAACAGTCCCCGAAACGAAAAAGCAAACATTTGATTTTTGTTTCGGCGACTGAATCGTTGATGGGCCGGCAAATATTTGTTGTCGAGTAGTGTTGAATACTCATATTAACATGATTATTGATTTAATTTAGGAATTGTATATAAATATCTTTGACCAAGTTTAATTGTTAATGAGAATGCACCCCAGCGCTGGGCGCGCGCGGCGGCTTTGATGTTAGCTGCAGAAAAAATGCCGCGCGCGTTCAGCGTGGGGCTTTTCGTTTTTGATTTTACAAATGACAAAGCAACTTTTAATGATTATTAATGGAATTATCGGATATTTATAATTCAATATGTATTGATTCTTCTGTGGAAAATAAAAATTGTATTTTACTTAAAATTGTATTTTACTTATATAAAGAAACGTGTTGGTATCATAATATAACCCAATACCTATCAAAAACAATAAACATATGCTGAAACCCTAACCCTTTTATACCTTACTATGTGCTTGCGCGCCACTGCAAGCGCAATTAGGGCTCTGGATAAATTACCTGGGGACCTCAGGCTATCATGTCACAACTGAAGTAAAGAGCTCACAGTGGGATAAAGTATTAACCTACAATAACTTCCTTATACGGTCACATCACATGCAGATAAAGACATTTTTGCCAATATCTCACCAGAGGAGCATTTCATGGGGGTGGTTGAGGATCAGCGTTCGAAAATACATCGATTTAAGTCAATTTCAACTGCTGGGGGGCCCTTTTAGAAAAATTTATAAAATCGAGTGAGAGATCTTATATTTTGAGGAAGATGAGTGGGGGAAGTTGTATTTGGTGAGAAGCATGGAGATGTTGGTATATCAAGAAAGACCCAGCATTATATAATGAGAGTTACTCTTTTCGGTGGTTTCAAGGCGACTATAGACATTGCAGAATTGGAAGTTTGGGAGAGTATTTGGCTTTTAAAGTTCAATCCTGCCAAATGTAAAGTAGTTCATGTTAATCTTAATAGTAATCCTAACTTAAATTGTTTTGTTAATGGTGTAGAACTTGAAGCATCTGCTCAGGAAAAAGACTTGGGGGTTATTACCCATAACTCCTTGCTTTGGAATGAGCAGATAAAAGCATGCATTTCTAAAGCAAATCGTATGATATGTTGGATTATAAGAAATTTAGTAATAAGGGAAAAAGGAGTTATGATAACCATCTATAAAGCTTTAATAAGCCCTCATCTAGAGTATTGTGTCCAATTGTGGAATCCAGTTGCGGCTCATGGAAGTTGGGGGATTGTTTTGGAGCTGGAGAGCGTCCAGAGGCGGTTTACCCGTCTTATTAATGAGGTGGGTACTCTTCCTTACAGCCGTAGACTGGAAATTCTCAATTTGACAACGCTGGCAGAGCGGCGAATACGTGGGGACCTTATTGAAGCTTTTAAGGTTATTAATAGTTTGACCGAGTACGGCTCAGATTTGTTCAAAGTGAGCAGATCTGGTCTTAATCTTGTATCATCCAACAGATGTTGTAAGAGTATGGCAAAGATTAGGAATCTCCAAAGTTCATTTCTTCCAGAGCGAGTTATTCCTTACTGGAACAAACTTCCTCCAGATGTTAAGAACTCGGTGACTGTTTTAAGTTTTAAGATTAAATTAGAAGGGTTTAAAAAAGATATGATTGCTAAGGATATTTCTAATGATTCACATTTTTGGAATGTTTCAAACGAAGTATTAGGGAGAATTGAAGGACCTAGCTATGTTAGTAATAAAGAGAAGCATAATGATTATCTTTATTTCCACCCTTTTGTGGCAATAAAGCGATTTATAAATCTTTATTCCACTGGGAAGTATGAATAGGGTTATCTTTTGGGGATGCTTTTTGAACTTTAAAAAAAATAAAGTTGTAGTTAATAATTTATTAATTTTGGTGGTAAGATATTTATATTTTGTCCATAATAGTGATTTGATACTTTGTAGACATGTGTGATGATGTTATGTCATAATTTTTTTACTTACTTACCGTACTTACTTATAGAAATTTAATGCAAGTTCAGGCTTCAAAGAATAGCGGATGGCACCCACTATTGCCCCAGCAACCTATGATTGATGCTTTAGATTAGACAAGGACCACTTGATATACTTAAGGTGGAATCTATCATAGTGGTCTTGTGCAATATATTTGAGGGTATTAGAAGGGTTTTTCTTACCTGGGGACCTCAGGCTATCATGTTTATAAACATAAACCGTATAGAGATTAGACGGAATGACAGGCTAGGCTGAGCGTGGCCCAGTAAGGTTTTTCATGGTTTTTGTTCAATGTTTGTGCAAGAATACATTTTCTCGGCATGCCAATCTCTGTTATAGGGTGAGTTAAGCAAGTAGATGAATGATATACGTTCAAATTTCTTCAAAGTATTGGGTGCCTTCTTTTCAAAACAGAAAACAGAAAGCAAAGCTCTGTGAACTAGCGCGCCGGATTAGTCCATTAACAATGGACAAGCTAAACAGTCAAAACAGTGAAATTTGGATCGAGGAAAGATGATATCATTTTCATGATTTTCCTTTCATCAAAGTTTTCTCCCAATATTCAGGTTTCAGTACCTCGATCATGACTTGTATCACCTACACTAACTTCACTAGTTCACTGATTGGTCACTGGTCAAAAATTCACTCTAAACTGTGAAATTTTGATCAAGGAAACCACAGAAAAGCTATTATTCAATAATAATCCAAAATGTTTCCTTTTGATCAATTTTGATCAAGGAATTTTGATCAAGGAAACCACAGAAAAGCTATTTTTCAATAATAATCCAAAATGTTTCCTTCTATTCTGATGATTTTCCGTTTATAAAAGCTTTCTTTGGGTATCAAGGTGTCAAGTTAAGACCTCAATCGTGTCATCCATAGTGAACTCACTTATTGGTAATTGAAGAAAAATTCAGTCAAAACAGTGACATTTGGATCGAGGAAAGGTGATATATATCTGAAAATGTAGGACATTTCCATAATTTTCCTTTCATCAAAGTTTTCTCCGGATAAGCAGCTTCCAGTACCTCGATGGTGACTTGTGTCACTCATACTGACCTCACTGATTGGTCATTGGTCAGAAATTCAGTCAAAATTGTGAAATTTAGGTCAAGGAAATCTGAGAGAAGCTTTTTGTGAATTTTATTCTTCTATTCTGATGATTTTCCGTTTATGATAAAAGAGTAATATGCGACGATGGTCTATGACAACATTGCACGGTTTGCAGAACAGCTTTCCTTTCATAAAGATTAAAGGGAAGAACTAAATTCCTGAGCTCAAGATGCAGTCAAAATATATCCTTATTTAGCGGAAACGTTTGGCTTTTTAGGAGCCAGCAAACTAGTGCTAGGATCAGCTGATGGTGAAGGTGCAGGACGTTTTAAAAATGATCCATGTTTAGCATTCTATGTATTAATGTAAAATCAGGCGTTAATAAATGGGCAGATCCGATTACAGTAAATACGGTAACCTGGTGACAAGAAATGGTTATTATAGAGAGGATCTCTCTGCATGCTGTAGTAATGAGTAACAACCGACCCCAAATTCTCTCAACTGGCCCCGATTTCTCTCAACCGACCGCGACCCTAATTTCTCTCAACCGACCCCAATTTCTCTCAACTGGCCCCGATTTCTCTCAACCGACCGCGACCCTAATCTCTCTCAACCGACCCCAATTTCTCTCAACTTACCCCAATTTCCCTCAACTGACCCATATCTCTGAACTTATAATAAGTCGTCGGTTTTTTTTCTGCACCTACCGCACTTATATTATTATGTTGTTTGGAGTAACAATTTTCCGAAGTTAAAGATTTTCCTGACACAAATTCTGATCCTGGAAATGCATTATATATTTTGTATCTATGAACTACTAAACATCGTGCAGTATAATGATTCATGCTTCCAGACTTGTTTCTATTGCAAACTTTACAAAGAGTGGGGAACTGTTGTATAAAAAGATCTTGTTGACAATGATCTTACTGAATATGGTAGTGCTTTATTGTTATCATTTATCAAGCAAGGTTTTAAATCATAGCTTTATTTAGATCGACTATTATTTTTCGTAAACATATTATTTTGATTGTTACTTTTAGTTTGTACTACAAGTATTTTTCTATTCGTTGTACATTATACATACTTTAGAATCTAAGACGATTAATGTTGTTTCTTGTTAAGTTTTTCCCTATGTACCGAAACATTAATTACTTCTTTACTTCATAGTTCAAAATTAACTGGTGATATAAATAAAGTGGAAAGCTAACCCATCTTCACGGTAGAATGAAATCAGGGCAACAAAAAGCAGGGTTATTACTGTGTGAGAAGCTGATAGAGTGATGGGAGGAACACACAGTGCGGGTAGAGACAACGACGAACTGGTTGATGTTCTTATTCAGGAGAAGTACATTGGTTAGTTTTATTAAATGGTTAAATTTGGTGCACGTGATCTTACGTGATGAAAACGTTATTGGACTATTATTTATTTGCAATTTTTTGTTCACTGAAAGATTAATTGGTGATGATTGCTCTAGTACTTACTGGCAGCCGATTTTACTGATTGTCAGACTAACAATTAATATTAATGAATTTCCATAAACTCCTAAAACGAATTGTCGAAAGTTTTGAAATAGTGATTAGTGTTTAATATTAATCTAGGTAATGAAATTGTTGTTAAATTCCGTTTCAGATACAATACTTACTTTAATGTTATACTTATCTTAATATTAGCTTGATCTGTTCTAAGGTATTTACAAAGTTGACTCGCTGGAACAAGTGAGCTTGTTGAAATAGTAGCAATACTGTATTTAACTGCTATTCAGACGAATAAAGTAAATAAACGAATAGAAATACATGTACAACTATATTTCGTTTATTTAGATTTACAACATAATATCTATTTCATAAAATTGAGCTTATCTAGGATTCAAGTATCAAAAAATTGAATAAACAACTTAAATCTAAACAAGAATTGCGCCCATTGTTTCGTTTTGGCGGACGCTAGATTTCCATTTCACTGTAACTATTAATATAAGCTCTAATCAGCTCACCTTATAATAATAATATTGAAACATCAGTAGACTACGCGTGCCACATTCTAGTTGGGCTTATTACAAAATACTATACATTACTAGTATACATTAAAATACGATCGTGCCGCGCATTCATTGACCACAGACTAGCTATACACCACATCTCCGCAAGCAATCCCCGTGCGCGTGCGCGCGGCAAGTTGACATGGTAACGAACGGAAGCAAGTAAGTAAGGAACACGACATATATTTGACCCACCTACCGCTATCTCCAAAATCCACGTTTTTCTGCAAAAACGTCCATTCGTAACCTTTCACTATTGCCTTTTTTCAAAAGGGTGAAAAGGAAAAAATAACATAAAGAAGAATAATCCTCTCTTTTCAGCGACTGAAAGCGTGGAACAAGCATTTCGCTATGTAGACCGAGGTGATTACATCAGTGGCTTCCCCAACACGCAGGTCTATGGTCCTGATCAGACCTTGAGAAAGACGGACAACACCTACGCGCCACCTCTCAGCTCCGTGTATCTACGCTGCTGTGGTGGAGGCGCTGGATATTCGGCCAGGTACGGGTTTTTACCACGTGACTGTCACGTGCTAAATGTCACGGGTTGTTATAGTTTACCATGGGGTTCATACAACCATTCTTCTTTTAAAGATCAGGTTAAAACATAATCTTTTACGTACGATGAGGTGAAAGAAAATATTTTATCACGTGAAAGTGATTTAGGATTTTGATTAATCAATGCTGGAAGCGGAATGGTTAAACACTGTCACGTGTGGGTAAAAAGATGGGTTCACCTCCCTGCCATTATCCTGTTCTACTATACGGTTAATACCCAAGAGAGAGGCCACGATGAAATGATATTGTAATTTAACTTTATCATTATATAATCACGAACATTAGCATGTCACGCAGTATCGGGTAATCTAGAACGGAAGGATTCTTAACTACTGTTTAGTTGAACTAGACAAGGATAAATTCTTGGAAAAAAGTAGCAGCGATAAACCATTCAGCTTGCAGCGGTGTGACCAATCAGATGCAAAACACACTGTCACGTGACTTAACTCTTTTACTCGACCTCCCCAGATCCCAGACGCTGTCCGATCTCTTTATTCTGTTTAATAGATGCAGCCTAATGATCTGCAAATAAAGCAGTTATATAAAATTAAAGGAAAATTAAAGAAGCAACTTTACCAAAGATTGTTTCTGTATTGTTACTTAAAGAAACATATTTGTAATATTATGATTTATAGAGCTTATATTAAAGAATTAATCTGTGTGTCTACTGCAGGGAACTCGTTTCTGAACGTTGGAAGCGGGACTGGCTACTTATCGACCGTTATTGGCTATCTAATCGGACATGGTTAGTTAATTTGTTCAAAGCGACCAATCAGAGCACGGTATTCGTATCACGTGACAAAAACCAACCAATCAAGTACAAGGTTCGTTAATTCGTTCAAAGGAGTGGATAGGCACATTTGAATCATTGGACAGACAGCTAAAATTTAGCCGTCTTATTATTGGGGAACTTGTGAATATTATAGAGTTCATATTTCATCAATTATTGTAATATGCTATTATCAATAATCACTTCTTATTGGTGACAGCGACTGTGAGTGCGTATCTTGATACTGATCATTCGTTTATCTGTATTAGATAAACGAATGATCTATCTGATAGAAGGTTCATTAGCTTCTGCGAATATTGCAAGTAATACGTCGAAAGATATTAGACTCCAAATGGGTGCTGAAAATGAGCGCTTAATCCTGGCACTATTGCTTCTAGTGTCAATATAGCTGAGCCACTGCAATAAATCCTGTATTGTGGCTTTATACATGATAATATGGTATACTACTTGACTGCTTGCTTAACAAACTCGCATAAATTAAGGATTTAAAATTTGTGATCTGTCGCATATCGATAAATTGTCATATAATAGTGATAGTTTGAGTAGGTATTCTAATTTGTAATAAAACATAACTTATTAGAGATCACTTCAGGTGCCTTGAACCACGGTATAGAAGTACGAAAGCAGGCAGTTGAACACAGTTACCAGTGTCTTGAGAAATACATCACACAGTGCATCATGTTTGACGCTACTGGTCTCGCTATTCCGCTATTTGTATGTGGAAACGGGCTGGATATTGACACCGGTGAGGAGATATTATGTGAACTCGTTAAAATGTTCCAGTTAAAAATAGTAAGACATGAATAATGAAGAGCTAGGTCGAATTTTGGACTAGTCTGGCTTCTTGGATACTGTCACGATTTCACCAGATAATTAAGTTAATTCGTCATGGCATTACTTTTAACTCTGACGTCATCGTTTCTCAGACGACTTCATAACATGTTCAGGATACAGAAAGTACGATCGTATCTACGTCGGAGCTGAGGTTCCCCAGTCTCACAAACGGACCTTCTGTTCCCTTCTAGCAAACCGCGGCAAACTGGTCATGCCATACATGAACAAGGTAAAATATAGTAGTAAATAGTTAACAAAATAATTAATAAAAGTAAAGTAGTAAATGCAGCATCTTATATATTTCGTTTTTAACCACTTAGACACCATTTAGTTGCGGCGGTTGCGGCATCTTTATGTATAATTTGGCAATAAAAATCCCAAAAATCGGAAAAAATGCAGGATCGAATGATTCACGATTTAATACCGCACTTAAAAGCCAAAAGGTATCTACGACTCTTAGCTCTTCATAATCTTTACCATTGCCTAAAGCAAATAAAAACCCATTATCGATAAAGAAGAAATTGTCGATAAAGAACAAAAGCTCTACAGTAGAAGTTTTATCTGAGCTCCGAACAAAACAATAATCTCTCCATTTTCACCCTGTTTTTAACTCTTTCTATCACCCTCTTCTGATAGTTGTTTAAAAGACTGCCCCTACTCATACTTCCCAACTCAGACCGCAGAATAGTTTGTAACCTTTTAAACCGCCACCTCACCCTCTCTCAAACTACAATTTACTCATATTTCTCCCCAATCAGCACAGCCGGGCGGGCACAGACAGGATTTTCTTTTTATATTTAACTATTTGCTACTCTGTTACTAAGTAGTAGTTTACAACAATTTGTTGATTCAATAACTCTGTGGGGTCAGTGCGTACGGCTTAAAATGGCTTTCCTTTATGGCCTATTAGTAGCGGTTATAAAGATCACGCTAACCAACAAACTAGTGGCTCAGTGGCGGAGACGCTCAAACCCTCTGTCCTCTCCGCGGGGCTCACTCAGCTCAGTGGCGGAGACGCTCAAACCCTCTGTCCTCTCCGCGGCCTCTACCACTTGAAGTTACACCATTATTAGGATTTAATTACAGAAAACTAATTTGGTTGGGGTAAGTGGTGACCGTGGTAAATCGTTAAGTGGGGTAATGATGAGCTAATAGCAATTTACTTGCGGGTTTGCTACGTCACTAATTAACATTTAATTGTTTAGTAATATTATATGGAGTTAGAAATCGGAAACCCCACTCCTAGGCTTGGAAGAACATCATAGTATTTGATGATCTGGTATTTTGACGTTTTATGGATTAAGTTTCAGCTATACTGTCAAAAATTACTTTCATAACCTCAACTTCACACAATTGATTTCTGAAGCTTCAAACTTGAGGCAAAGCCCAAAGTTATCGAATTTGTAATCTTAATTCTATGAAATATAATCTGCAAAGTTTTGTTAGAAAAAGAAAGTAAAAGTACCTCAAAAATAAACACTCTGAATTCGTATTAAGTTGACGAGTATGAACCAATCACCTGATTCCATTTTCAGCTGATCTGTGTGACACGTGATGACGACAGTTTCACGTGTAAGGAGCTGATGTCAGTCTCCTTCCGGCCCCTCCTGACTCCTCAAATGATTGCAGAGGAAGTGGTCGGAGACGAGGAGCCTGAAGAAAGAGATCCTCACATCTTTCAAATCAGTGGGTTTCTTTACCCCTCAAGATTAATCCATATCAAGTTTATTAGAACTCAAAGTTGTAAAATTGAAAAGTAATGTACTAGTCATTAGTCCACTATAATATTATCTATTCCCATCATTATAAGAACCACAATATTCGGACAAGGATATCATGTACCTGACCAATATAATCTGCAGGTACAAGGATAGAAACGCTACAAGAGATGTGCCGGTTTGAAATCTACCAACTGCTGGGAAGAGAGCACCTTGCCAAGGTCCGTACCTCTCACCGTTATCACCATGTTATCACCACGTCATTTTACCCGCAACATCTGTTTTACGTTTTACCCCTAATGGTCAAGATAACGGACCTTCATTTCCTCTTAATCGATTTAAACGGTTTGGCCGGTAGAACGTTCAAATCTTTCCCAAATTGAAGCTGAGAGCGTGTCTTTGAGGGATGTTAGAATCTAGACGAGGAAGGTTGAGATTTAGACGGGATATGGAGAGAGAGGGACTGGGCCTCCACCCTCCCATGACATCTTACGCATTCCACCGGCCCTACTTCACGCTACTTCACTAGCTGGTGCAAACTGATCTGTGCTAAGTAGCCAGGTGCTAATGGTTTCGTACCAAATAATTTAAACCCTCCTCCCACGTCAATATACTGATAAACCCGATTAAAATTTAGATCTCAGAGTTTCTCCTTTGAGGGAAAAATTCTAGATTACCGGTCAAATAGGGATTACCGGGAAAATGGTTGATTAATGAAAACATATTCCGTGGAACATCGCGGGAGGGACCGTCCTATACAAGCATAATACGAAATTATTAAAATCGGGTCAGCCGAGAATTTTTTGATAATTTCAGGGTTGGGATCAACTTTAAACGAGGGGCACGTGACCTGTGCCCGAGGTGGCCGGCCTCTAATAGATAACATACTTCTGACTGCTTTGCCGAGCATTTAGATCACCCTGTCCGACCAATGGCGTGACACCACCTTGTCACTCTACACCAATCAGAAGCAAGAAACAGTGTCACGTGGCTGTGAGGTAATGTCACGTGACCAGAACGGACGAACTCCGCGCTGGCTGTTGAAATTACGGGGTTGTTATAAAAATTAGAAAGAAAACCGAGCCCAATAAAACTACACAATCCTCTGTAAAGCTCACTTGCTATTATCAGTTTGTTTTCTTGCGTTACTTTCGTTCCTGTCTGAAAACTTTTCAAATTGAGTGGGAACTATCCCAATTTCAGATTGTCAGACATTCTACTATTGCAATATTGCCCTTTTCTCTTCTAAACGCAATAAAAACAGTGCACCCATTAAGAAAATACCTTGACGCTTCGGAATGCTGAGCTCTAGCAGTTTAACCTCTGCTTCAATCGTCTAAGGAAAATGGCATTCGCTCATTCGTAAAAAGAAATTCCTGAATTAATTCGTCATAATGATAAAATAGTAATAATAAAATAATGAAATAGATTGTCTTTACCGCTTTATTGAAAAATTAACGCCACCTATTATTTTTGTATCCAATGGAGACAACAGGATATGAAATATCCCTCAAATAGACGCGGCGTGCGAAGTCTGGGCACCAGCTTCAATCCGGATACCCACAAGATCTCTGATAGCTTGACCTATTCTTGGCTTTACAAAATAATGAACGTCTACAGGCCTGCTAAGTTTAGCCTCGAACCTAATGAAATAGGGGAATTATGGATTATTTGCGTACCCGCAACCATTGTGCATGAAGCTGAACGTTTTTGATCCCCTTTGACCTAAAAGTCGCCATTCTTGGATTGCATGTCTTTTTGTCGGCATGAAGCCATCACGTTTTAAAACTAATGTGGTCCGTGGGAAATTAGGTCAGTCTATCTGAATTGGCGATAAGCTAGACATTACGATTTGTAAGACATCCCTTCAGACGTACAGCGTAACCTTTTTAGACGTGAGAGTCAAGTAGGTAATTATTGTGAACTCCTAATTTAGGTCAGCTCCCTTAATAGGCACCTCTCCCTTCCCCCATCGGATATGTCTGACAAGATTTAACATTTAATTGATGAAATTTCGCTGTAACAAGTTTAAGAAGTATGGGAGATTGTCGCTGCTTGGTTCGATCTACCTGGAATTTAGCGTGATCATCATAAAGTAGCATTCCTGACTAACGTGTCCCTGGTGTGGAAGTCAATCGGAAGTAGCTGTACTGACCTTGATCCAGTAGATGTCGGTAAATCTCTTAAGAAGGGGTTTTAGAGGGAGCTGACTAGATATCCCCTGCTCGGTTCTCCCAACTACTATCTTGTCCTGTCCTAATCGTTATTGCGTTACTAATCCAATCCAGCCTTTAAGCTCACGATTACAAGTACAAAGATAATGCATGTCTATTACTCTTATTATTATAGACGGGATCCTTCTCATAAATACAAAAAACGAACCTCAATTTTTGACAAGTTGTAACAATTTTTTGCCCTCCGTAAAGAAGTGTTCACAGTTCAGTATCGTGGTTCTTCCAGTTGCCTTGCGTATACCATCCACAACTCCGGGCACATAAATGCGATCATCAGGGGTCAGGAGATCGTCACTATTACGAGTCAAATTTCCCGAATTTGTCGTTGTACTAGAAACCGGGGAGCAGCGAGCGGCTTCCCTCTCACGTTGCTCCCTCCCTGCTGATTTAATCTCGTTTCAACCAATCCCGCTTTCTTTTTGTTATTGTTTTTTGCCTTGACCTAATGATTTGGCGCCGATCGCTGAATAGCCCAAGCTGAATAATATCCCCGCTATTACTCTAATTATTTGTTGTAAAGCTTTATCTTTGTCATTTGTTGTCGATGATACTTATGATATCAGGTTCTGGATATCAGATTTTAATGGATTTCTAAAGAAATTAATTTTAGATATGTTCGACAGTCCTTTCTCCATATCCAGTATCCTGGGCCTGCCCTCTAAAAACAGCACAGACGTTGCCGGGGCAACACTGCCTCACTCCCGATCCCAGCAAGACAGGCACTCCTACAAGATACCCTACGGTAGCGACTACGGCACCGCCAACAAAACTCTGATACAGCCTCCAAAAAGGAAAGTCACGACGACAAGCAGCTCGTCGTCCAGTTCTCGGAAGCTGGCGACAACAGACGACAAGAAGACGAAGAGGTTCAGATCCTCGTTCAGTACGGAGCAGTTGCGGACCATGGAGGACACGTTTAGACACAGACCTTATCTCAGCACCGCTCAAGTGGAGGAACTTGCTGGTGAGCTTGGGCAGTGTGTGTTATTCTGTGTTATTCTGTGATGTTCAGTTAACTGTTTTTTGTAATTTTCTGTTTTCTGTTGTCTGTGTTTTTGTGCTGTATGTTTTATGTTTCGTCTGTCTTGTTGTTGCACTTATGTTTTTGTGTATTGCGTCATGATTCAGTCGAATTGAGGACTTCATGATAAACTGATCTGTACTGTGTGAACATGCTCTGTACTGTGTGATCTGTACTGTGTGAACATGCTCCTGTCAGTGGTTTAATGGCCCAGTGTTTTGTTTTGTTTTGTAATACTAGATAGATAATATGTAGCTCCTGGTTAGTGTGTTTTTATCACGTACTCATAGCTACCTAGTCTTTCAAAAGCTAAGAGTAAGCCAGTAAAGAACTAGATATTATTATGTACCTCAGAGGAGAAATTTATAATTTGCGTATTTTCAAAATCACTGTTCGGATAGGTGCATACTTTAAAAAAGGGCGCTCGTATTTTATGTCCAAAATTTAGCGATGGTAAAAATTCATTCCAGAATGTTTCGTTCCATTTCGTAAATTTGTTATCAGGACGATTTTTTACAGACTGCCGGTACTTTAATCTTTTATCGAAATCGTTCGGGATCATTGCTTTCTCAAAGCATTGTGGCGCTCGTCATGATTAGCGTTTTGCGCATATTTTTATAGTTTTATTATTGATAAATCCCATATATTAGGACGCAATGAAACTATCGGACTACGATGTATGGGGACTTGCCACCCCATGGCAACATTCAAATTTATTGACTCTGTTACATCGTATCCTGTTAATATAAAACTACGTTACAAATTGAACTAGGATCTGGCAGTACTACAATATATATGATATTCTTGTTAAATTTTCCAGGAATTTCCACTAAGTTGTCCGTACGTTTATTAGTGATTAACAGATACTGCACCTATGTACCTGCTATCACATTCCGATGCTTGTTCGAGGTATTATCACGAACAGTACATTCCTTCTTCATCAAATCTAAAATTCAGTTTTTTTAGCTTTTCAAAATCACTGACGTTGCAGATCCCCTGATACTATTACTATCATGTGGCCCGTCCTATTAGATCAGTGTTTATCATAATTGATATCCGTGATTCTTGCGAAATTTAAATTAATAAAACTTATTGGACTAACGCAGGCATGCATTATGGGGCTTGGTATTGTAACACTTGGTAACAGTTGATCAGCGAACAAACAATATAAATAACTAAATTAGGTGGTAGAAAATTCCGGTCCGGCAGGCGGCGACAAACTCGCTGACGAATAGCTTGACTAGTCCGTCTAACGGTGTCACCTGTACGTCTAAAAATGACTTTGTAACTGTCTGGCGTTTACTAATAGTAATATAATGAGGACGGTTGTTTTGTAGAAGTTGACGAGTTGGGGCGTCTGGAGTTGTGTACTGTTCTGGTCAAGTCTTTGCCCTCGTTTTTTCGTAATATCACTTTATAACCCTCCCAATCTTCCAGGTAACCTCGCCCTGAGCAGTCGCCAAGTTAAGATATGGTTCCAGAACAGACGAACCAAGTTGAAGAAACAAGTTACCCCTGTTTCCATGAACAATCCCGCCGGAATGCCTAAATATCCCAATGCCACCGTGTCCCAGTATCTGTACTATATTCAGAGCAGCAATGCTAACATCATGAACACTCTTAACAGATACAGTGATAGGAGGTACTGAGCACATGTCACGTCACATGTCACGTCACATGTCACGTCACATGTCACGTCACATGTCACGTCACATGTCACGTCACATGGCAATGAAACGATTAACGGATTCATACGATTTGCATTATTTATCGATGTTAATAGATTGCGAGCGATTCAGACTTTTTCAGTTTTGATAAAAGATACCAGATTCATATGATATGAGAGTTACGGCTGTAGTATCAAAAACTGGATTTCCGTGAGAATGTTCCGTAATTTTTGGAAACATATCCTGAAAATTCAGTTTTCGTTTATGATAATCATGTTACTGCCGTATCTTTCATTTTGTTGTCAATGAAGTATAATTGTAAATCTGATTTGATGCTAATGGTATGCTTATATCCAGGCATATTGAACGACACACTTCTTGTGCCCTTCAATTTGTCATTCAGTCATTTGCTTGACTTGAATGATACAGACTTTTAATAGCAACTGATATAGACTTTTAATAGCATTCCATCAATAAATCGTTAGTCCAAGTCTAGATAATGCGTATTGACAGTAATTATAAACTTGGTATAAAGTTTCTAATAGTAGCTATTTGCAAACATTGCAATACAGAGATCGTGATATTATGATGATCGTGATGGTAATGTGATTATGTTGCGGTGGAGGATTGATATACTCTTCAAGTATACCGTGTCTGATTGGAAGCACCCGTCAAACCTTTTTGAAATTAAGTTTTGAGATGTTAGTGAATTAGGAATAGTGAATGATTTTTAGAGAACAATAATTCTGTATTTAAGTATGAGTGTCTCTGAAAGAGCTGTTACAGATTACAAATTACCGTATTTCCTTAAACTTTGTACAGAATTATCACAGACATCTTGTATCATTGTTCTTTTACTACGTAAGGGGTCGTTACGTAATTTTTGAGCTACCCTTAAGTAAGTTTTTTATCGAGTTTTTTTATCTAGGTGCAGTTCATTACTCGACAGTGCCTTGCTTTAATGAATAATGAGGTTGATAATGAGGTTGATAATGATGTTTGTAAATCAGCCCCTTTATCAATCCTAGAGATGATATCAAAATAAAAGAAGAGTGATAGAATGCTTCTGCAGAAGATGATGCTACTGGCGTCCCCAGTTCTCCTGCACACAGACACAAAAGTGATAATAACTTGTTTAATTAAATAATAATCAGTGAGTCACAAACGGGGAAAAGCAGAATTTTCCAATCAAGATTGCATTGCTATCATTCCTGGAGAGGAGTCGTAGAGTCCGGTAGCACCTGAGTTGGGGTGTGATCCACAACACTGCTCACTAAATACTGTGGTGCTAACAAGGCCAACAAGAAAAAGGAAGGGAATATATTTAAATAAAAGAGTTCTCTAGCGTTGTAAGGCTCCGTTTCTCTCAGCGTAAAGAGGATTTCAAATATAATGTGCACTACTTGTCTACTTGTGCGTCCTTTAAATTGGAGTCATGTCATATAATGAGGGACCAAACTTACGATCGTCTTAACAAAGTGGTTGTTGGAAGCAAAGAGGCTTTAGAATATTTTGAGTGTATCTGCAAAGTCTGATCTTTAAGTCACGTACGTAGTTGATAGTCACGCTGGAGTGCTCAGTGATGCTCTTAATAAGATTTAATCCCGTCAAAACTTTGATACTGTTATGATATAAAGTTTTCCAGCCTAGTTCCTATCGGCGCTATTTACCGCTTGGTCGCATATATAAGTATATTTTCCTGCAAAATGGCGGCGATTAAACGTTCCATTATTGGACAATAAAACAAGATCAGACTAATAGTATTACAATGGACTATCAATATAAAACTTTGTAATTCCTCTTTATTCTAGCAACTGTCTGTCTAAAAGTCTGAGAGATGAGATGAAATATTGCATCGCTAGCTCACGAGTCACGACATAAAAATAGCTGCAAAAATAGCAGGATACAAGCATCTTAGCTACTGGGAGCGCCTGAAGCAGCTTGATCTCTACTCCCTACAGCGCCGCCGCGAGAGGTACATGATCATCCTTGTCTGGAAAATTTACTACGGTGAGATTCCCAACAGTGTAAATATTTCTTTCCAACACTCTCAAAGAAGAAGAGTTACATGTCTTCGTCCTCTTGGCGGATCAAAATACAAAAGCACCAACACCATGAGGTTCCATTCTTTCCCTTCAGTGGCTTCTGCTTTGTATAACGCTTTGCCTCACGACATCAAGCCTATCCCAACCTTGCCAAAATTCAAGGCAGCACTTGATCGCTTTCTTCATACCGTCCCCGACACCCCTCTTACCCCTGGATATACAGCGGCTAGCGGCAATTCAATCTTGGAATGGGCTGTGAGCAAGACATGATAACAGAGACACCGGTGGTGGAGACGCAAGATGTCTTGGCCTGGGCGTGCTGGCCCGAAACGAACCCAAGGTACCCAAGGTAAGTACTGTGGAACGTGGTGCTGACTTTTCGTTCACGATATTCTGTCCCATAAAGCAATGTGTTCCTATCTGTCACGTGACTGCGATGCTAAACTAATGGAGTATAATACCTAGGTCTTAGATATTTAATTTGAGATCGTATCCCATACCACCAGGCACCAACTGTTTCAGATGTATAAGGTGCCTCGTCGGTTAATCTCCGCCCGAAGCTTTTCTTTTGAAATTCTGTTAGGCGATATGGAAGGTTGCTTCAGTATTTGGGACAGAGTCATTGTGGTCAGAAATAGGTGAGGTGAGCTGTCTGTCCAAGGTTTAGATGGGGGCTCTGCAACTAGTAGGAGCTCCGGTTACTTCGTTTGTCCAAGACGCATCGGAAGAAATTCAGGACGGAGTTCTCCGAACCTTGGTTCAGTCCTGGAATAAACTGAAGATTGGTTGCCATTGCCGATTATGATAACTTATCCTCATATTGTAATTTTCCGGCGTTGTGAGGCTACTTTTGTATCATCGGAAAAGAGGACTGTCTTGATAGTATCTGGGAAGTCTGATCGAAAGTCACGTACGTAGTTGATAGTCACGCTGGAGTGCTCAGTGATGCTCTTAATAAGATTTAATCCCCGTAAAAACTTTGATACTGTTATGATATAAAGTTTTCCAGCCTAGTTCCTTTTGGTGCTAGTTACCGCTTGGTCGCTTATATAAGTATATTTTCCTGCAAATGGGCGGCGATTAACTGCTCCATTATTGGACAATAAAACACGCAAGATCAGACTAATGGTATTACAATGGACTATCAATATAAAACTATGTAATTCCTCTTTATTCTGGCAACTGTCAGTCTAAAAGTCTGAGAGATGAGATGAAAGATTGCATTGGAATCGTTCCTTGATAAGAGTCGAAGAGTCTAGCCCCTTCAGCGTTTTCGCAGCTGGCACCACCTGGGGGGAGATTATGACTTACCGTGGATCCTCCCTTGTTCGGACGCCGGAGATCTATTATATTTATTTTAAGATCCATTATATTTTCCGATCATCACATTTTTCGTTCATCACAGCGTCAATAACTGTAATCATCAAGGCAACCCGCCCCAAAGATCAATTTATAACCGTCAAAAAGCGAAAGCGTATCGCTACTTGATCTGGATAATTGTGCCAGTAATCTAATGGCGGGTAATTCCGGAAATTAGATATGAAAATGAACAGTACGGCACTTTTTCGTCTTGGAGGAAAGCATCCTGCTGGGACCAAAATGAGGCTATTTTTTCATGGTGCTGAGAAATTTGTTCGCTAAGGAGTTTGGTTATACGAATGGTATTAAAATTCGAGCAGTTCAAGTTCCTGTTCTATATTTTAGGGCGTGTTATTTCATTCACCATTTTTATACCATAAACAGATTAGCTGTTTTTTGGGCAATTTGTTTTCGAGGCAAGGCCGATAGCGAAGGGATTGTCTAATTTTCAAAGTTCAATCATACAGCAGCTGTAAAAGAGAGTTTCATTCATTTTCAGCGGAAGATTTTCTTCGTTCAGAATTTAGATCGCTTCAGCCATTAACGTTTAAGAACAGCAATTCGTTTGTTTTGATGGTGACAAGTCCCCGGATCTGAGGTTTTAGACCTGACAAATACGTTAATACTCAGATAAAAATTACACTTGTGAAGGAAAATTAGAAGGGTAAATATTTGGTCTGGGGATGATTCCAGCATGACATTAACCCCAACAGTAGTTAGCATATTCGACGTGACAGTAAACACAGCAGTATCTGCCGACAAAAACCAGGATTTACCGTGGATAGATCTAGCCGGCTCACTTAGACTGAGCTGAGGAGATCCAGTCTGGAAGTGTGATCAGGAAAGGTTGTTTTGTTCTATTTTGTAAAACGGGAACACCGTTTTGTTTAACTCTTATCGTTACTTTGTATCTATCTGTCTGCTTTGTCAAGTTTGCTGATTGTCCCCGCAGCAAATTTGTCAAATTCAGATCTTCCTGATTGTCGGTTATTGCTAGGTTGTGGCATGTCTTATTAAGATGTTTTAATAATATCTACATGCTCTCTGTTTCACTGTCGTATGACGATTACGGCTTAGCCCCCCTGGCTCTCCCAGGTATTCCTCCTCAACCCCGCCACCTTGTCTCTTATACTTGATGCCTCTACGTAACCCTGAAATTGGTCGCTACCTTTTCGTTTTTATACATTTTGTCCGGGAAGTTGTTTGTCAAGTGCCCATCTCCTCTTAATAAGAGTAAAAGATCTGATGTTTGGTTCAATGGTTCTATCACCCAACTATTCTAACAACATCTACTGAACCTGTTTATCTTCTCAAGTGGGGAGCACTCAGTGTCCACTGTTCAAGATTGTGACATTGGCTGAAAGCTGGTAATTATTTTACCACGTTGTTTTTCGTCTATTCTTAGTGCTGACGGTTATACCCGCCTATAATAAAATTATTATAATTCACTTTACTTTCCCGAGTACCAGTTTAATTTTGTTAAATTTTTCATGGACCACTTCTGTAAACCCTTTTAATGAAACTCAAAAAACACCTATTACCTTGTGCGAGACAAATTAAATCATGGTAATTGGGGATATTTTTTCAACCCAATATTTGAGAAAATTAAATACAAAGATCTTCTCTGATCAGCTGTTTCATCTTGTAAACAATTTCTACGGCGCCTTTGAAAGTTAGCCTCAACTTAACTTATAATCCTCCAGAGGGTATTGGAGACCGACAGTGTTTGTTATCTTCCAGTTTCCACTACTCCCGAAATTTCACCGCCGTGGCCAATAAAGTAGTGACAGAGCTTGCTTATTTTTGATGGAACGTGTCCAAAATTATTTTAAAAGCAATTCATGATCGAATACTAATGTTCATTAATTGTTTTATGAATCATATTTATAACCTACTATATCGATGAGTTGATAGTCAATCGATAAAGTCATAATTAAGGAAAAACTGTGAAAAATAATTTGGGGAAAATAGTCCGAAAATATGGTGTTTTTTTCTTCGAAAAACCACCGACTTTCGTACCATTTAAAAATGTCTCGGAAGGTAAGCTACTATCTAGTTTATCTGAAAACCGACAGCTTTAATTATATCGAGGTAGTAGAAAACGTCTAAAGGTATCGTGCACCAAAAGTCACTGTAACGGCACGCGTGACGTGATGCGTTAGGTAATCGATTATGAGGTGGAGTTTCTGTCTTATTTTTTAAAATTTTGCATTTTTGGAGGGAAACCGTTGAAGTAATCAACCGACTTATTGTAGAAATAAATCTAAAGAATTATGAATTCATTACTTTCAACCAGATCCCATTCAAAATATGTCTTACTTATAGATGGCAGGTGGTGTTTCAAAGCCAAAACGTCCAGCCATAACGAACTTTCTAAATACTTAAATAATCTAAATACTTCCAACTTTTGAGTACGTTATGGGGTCCCTGTTCTAACAAGACTCAAAATGCTTCATAACTACGTCATTTTAACTCCGTTTCGTATACTCTTGTCAGATCATATGCCACATTCGATGACCCATTGCAAAGTTTTAAAATGGGGTTTCTAGCATGTTCGTTTTAATGTTGAAAGGGCGTGGCCTCCAGTGTTTATTTTTGACAACAGAATCCTCGAATGAGTAGTTACAGCTGTAACATCTAAAAAAATTAAAAATCGTCATGTTATAGCTTCATTACCCTGACTTGTGGCCCCTTTAACTTTCCGTTCCATTTGAATAAGCAATAAGCAGGAGTCTGCAAATTAATATACTCAAGATGAATTTATATCGAATATTTGCGATTTAACGCTATTTAACCTGTGATACCTAATACTGAGTATGATAATGAAATGGCAATCATAACAATATAATTAAATCATCGTCTAAACTAAAAGCACATAATATTCATTTCATGAGGCCTTATCATGATGCTAAATTCGTTACCACTGCTCATACTTAAAGAAACTCAATTATAGTATCAATTTATCATTTTATCGTAAATTGAATTTGAAAAAGTTAAAATATTTATTGAAGTTACCGTTAGATTTGGCAATGATAAACAAATTAAACTACTGCAAAGTGTAGATTACTAAAAAGAGACATTAAATCTCAATTATTTCACAGCCAACTTATTACATCATCCCTTTCTCTCTTTGTTTTCAAGATAATATATGGTACTCACTACTCATCTTGATAAGAAGAATACTCTGATTGAGCCGTGATGGTCTATATTAATTGATGATATGTATAAATAGCACTACATCTATCAGTTGATCCCTATAAACGAATATATTGCGTTTTTCAGTTCAGCTCTACACAGTACACCACATTTATAATGACTAGTAATGATTGTTGAGATATCTCTCTTATCAGCTTGCTTATCTTACCTCGTTAAATTTCGACATCTTATTATTGTGTAGCCCTAGTTTCACACCAGCCGTGAGTGACAAACAAATTGATGACATGTTCAGTAATTATTCTGCATGGCTCTCTTAGACCCTAGCTAGACGGTGCGTTATGCGTTAAGTAATACGTTTAATGGAATCTCCGTTTAATCTAGACGGTGCTTTGTAACAATTGGATTGTAAGGCTCCACTGAACTTAACCTCTTCAAAAACAAAAAACACACTTTCATTAAACAACATTAGTCACCAATCACGTCATTTTTATCATTGCATCATTGTGTTTCGAGTATCTTAGATTCAGTCAGGACCCTGGCCGATTGAGCACACATACGAATAGACTGCACAGTGTCTGTTATGGATCTTAAAACTTATACAATTTGTTCGCTTATTTTAAAATTGATATCAGGTGTGAACTGTGCAGGATATGATTTATTTTGTTTAATTGACATTTTCAGTACTCAGTTTCATTCAGTACCTGCCGGCTCCGATTACAAATAAACAAAAACTCATAGAAACTATGTTGTGTATTTAAAGTTTATGGGATCGAAGATATTGGAGCACTTGCTAATAATAAGCAACCATAATCATAAGTTTGTTCGGAAGACAAGTAATTCAAAATAAACAGTGGGAATATAATCATATTTTACAATGCCGAACACAATTGACACCTGATGAGATATTTCATAGAATTGTTGTGGGAAAATTTTGGAAGAATTACTGCGTAACTAGCAAAATTTTTACTTTCAGTCTCAAACATTTCCTAGGGGAATTTTTCCGTTTTTAAACATTTTGTCCGGGATGTTGTTTGACACGTGGCCATTACTGTTAAGAGTAAATCAATAAACCATCGTTAACTTATCGGACTCTATACTAAAATGTATACCATTTTCAGGTCCTAGAGCTGCCGATCAGTCCAATTCTACAAGACTTCATAGTTTATTACCGAGACCCTGCATTGACACACACGCGGGTACGCCCTGTTTACAACGAACCTCCTCCCCCTCCTAGATCACGAATACAGGCCATACTACAGGTATTTAAATGTGGTTATCTTAATGCTTTAAAATGTAATCCTTTGCGACTGTGCTATACTAAATGTCAATTTGATGCTTTTTAGGAGGTCTACTTAAGTTCAAAGTAGTAACGCGCGAATAATATTTGTATGATAACACAGCGCGAAAACCTCACGTGATCGCGCGCAACAAAACAAAGTTAGAAAGTTATTTTTGTGATCACAGTACACACGAAATTCGAGACCTGTGACTGACTTGTTAAATACGGAAAGCGTGGTGAAAGCTTAGAAGTCACCAATAACACCATTGACGCATGCATGCCAACTATTTCTATGACGATAAAGCTAGAATATTCTCGAAAAAGTTGACGTTATCCATGATATTAATCACATTAGCTAATTATTAAGTTATTCCATCGTGTTTAAAATAGGCTCATTGCCAATCACAACTCAACAGAAAACTGAGATAACATATTATTCACTCAGGATCCACCGCCAAGGATTGGAGAGTATCTCGGACTGGTGGAGCGACTGATCGCCGAGCGGGGTCGCCCAGATGGCGCAGATGATTCAGATGAAGACTTGCCAGCTGATTCAGACGATGATGACATGCCTGTCATGATGGCAGCCAACATGGAAGATGCGGATGAAGATTTACCAAATCTCCGCGAGGACGAGGTTGAGGAAGCTTTTATTGAGAGCGATGACAGCGACAATAGTTTAGAGAGCGCTGAGGAAATGGAAGAGGAGTGGGAGAGTGGAAATGAGGATATTGAGGAGGAGACTGTTCAGGTTGAAGAAGAAGACGAAGAAGAAGAAGGAAACGTTATGGTGATAGTAGATGAAGCGATCCAGCACCAATCAGGTACTCTTATTACACTCTACACTCTACATAGTTATTAGTTAATCTTAGTTATATAAAACTCTAATTGTTGGTGTGGTCTTATTCTGCTTGCTGGATGATGATCATATTTCCAAAAGAATCTCAACTGAGCAACTCTATAAGAATCAGTAGATATGAATTATGACCCAAAATCTCCCAAAAAAATTAAAAGGACCAACTCGGAGTATTCCCAAAAATTAAACATAAAGAGAAATGATCTGTGTTTTCAGACGATAGACAAGACGGGAATGGATAACTACGGAAAAGTCGTCATTTAAGATTTGTGGCGCGATTTTAACGAAGTTCGTTTTCCATAAGGATATATTCTTGGAACTCTGGGCGCATTTGATAACATTCAATAATGTGTGGCTGAACATTGGGCATTCAGTACCCTGGACCTTTCGAAGGATAAGCTTGTTGCACAGGGTTTCTTATAGCAAAGTTGGCAGTTAATGTTATTTATTCCCTTTATTTTATTTTTCTGAATTAGAATATTGCTAAAAACAGTGCTATTCAACTAGTGATTCTGCCAAGTTCGCTTTATAGTTGCCTTGTTATCTGGCTCCTGTGGAGCTTGTAAGTAATAAACTGATCTGAAGAGTTGTACTCACTTTTGTTGTACGCACTTTCGTTTAGTGAGCAACTTTCACTTTCGCTTTCTTTTTTGATAGGACAGAGGTATCATCATTCGTTTTCAAAAGGTGCCTAGACTTCGTTCTATAAGAGAGATTTTATTTTCACTCTTGATGAACTTTGAGTGTTTTTGGTGAAATGAAAAAATATAGACGTTTTTTCGGCTGCCCTCACTAAAATTGTTTTAGATTCTTTTTAATTTCAAATTCATATTTCAACATTTATCAGCAACATTAATACGATGAGTTATAATCTCATTTTCCCAGCAATACTTCTGTGATTTCAACTTATTAGAATTATTTCGTTGTAAGCCTTCAGTGTGAAATCACCCTCATTGTTCCAGCCAATTCACATTTGTTTCAACAACAATTTGAAGACACTAATTATAGGAAGACGAAATTGTGTTTTTTAAAGGCCCATTTTGGGCTGGAAATCTCTGATTGTACATTTTTTGGATTTTTCCAATTTGTTGTTTAACAAGGAATCATTTTCACGGACGCGATTTCCGAAAATAATCTCCGATGACTTCCTTTGTTCTATATACTGAACGGTTACGCTGATTTGCAGTTAGCATTTCAAATTGTTCTTATCTACTGAAAATGATTATCAGTGAGAATTATCACATAAAAGGGTTATTTGTTACTAATCGACGAGTTTCAATTTTAATAGTTATAGTAAAATCCCGATTTACTGCGGAGTTTGAGGAAAGGAGAAAGCAGCGGTAAATCGTTGTTCCCGGTTTATCAGGTTCTGTTGAAAATCGGGATTTTACTGTATTCAACTAAAACACTATATTTGTCACAATGGACACTAATTTTAACGAATTTGCCAATGAAAATAAATACCTCCAGTTACATAAACCAATGTTCTCACCCAAATTTACCAAAATCAAGCATCGCTTATCTAAAAGGCGATGCTGCAACTTATTTTAAGCATCCTCCGATACTGCTGCCAAGTTTAGATAATCATACATCTTGTGAATCCCCTTGAACTCTTCGCACTTCCTACTCTCCTCGCCCTCCTTGTGGCAGATAAAGCCTTCCAGTGCAGAGAAAACCTCCCTTATGTAAGGAATATCCTCCTTGATCTGCCCCAGAACTTGAGGGTAGAGCGTGTCTACATCTACGGTGCCATCCTCTTGCTCTCCCAGCGCTGCTTCTATCCTCTTCAGAGCAATCCTGCACATATGAAACTCCTTATCTGTACTGCAATCCTTTCCTCGTCGTCCTAGAGCTAGCAGAGCTGTTAACGCTTTGTAGCTAGCACAATCCCCTCCATCTCTGGAACATTCGTAGAACTGCAGCTCGTTGAACACGTTGTGTCCCAGGTTGAGCATGGGGCTGGTAGGAGTGTGGTGCTGTTCTGCGTACATCAGCTTGTGGACTGTACGTGGTACAGCGCCAAGTTTTAAGGACTGAGCAAGTGTGACGAGGGAGAGAAGGATGAGCGCGCCTCTTGTCCACATGATCTACTGGCAAACAGAGGAGTTTAGAAATAAAATGAAGGGAGTGGTTGTGGATAAATACTGTACTTATATAGTATATACTTGTAACAATAGTATTAAGATCACGGATTGTTTTTAAATACTTCTCTCCTAACTTCTAAAAATGCTCGGCACAAACAATTAAGCTGTTCAGCAACTCTAAACTTTTTGCAGCTCAATAGTCTAAAAATATAGGACTAATGAAGCGAAAAAACTACAGTATCAATAAAGCAACGTGCACGGTTACTAAATTATTGTATCAGTTATCCTTTTAATAAGATCCACATGGCTAGCTGTTTGTCTCTAGGCTTGTTTGTATCATTGGTCTGAACTATTAGACCGACCAACGCCCCCTAACTGTTAAAAAAGGGGGGCACATTTTATATTCGTCAGATTCGTTACCATCATGATAGAAAAGTAAAGCTCCACATTAACTGAGAACTGCACCATAAGATAGACCCCCCGGCCCCCTGTTGTAGGTTTACTCTAATTTTAAGACCGGTGTGAGACACCATTGTAAAAGATGTGGGACATCTGGTCGCCACTTTTCGTCTGGCTCGGGTATATACAGAAATTAGTACGAAGAGGAGGTGCGATGAAACTACCCTTGCTGAAAGTCGCAGGTTATTGGTCAGGTTAATTAGAAATATAGATTGCTTTAGAATTAAATAAAAGCAGCTGTAATGCCATGGTAACGGTTAATATAATGCAAAAAAGCTGGCTGAAAACTCTGACTGTTCTCTGAATTAGGACCCTGCAGATTGATCAGAAGCTATACAATATAAGTTTGACAAGAAGAATGACAGTTTCATGGCTAATTCATTTTTCATTACACGATCTCAGGAAATTAAAAGGAAAATGTGTTGGTCTGAAAAATCGTTTGATCTGCGCAGGCTCTTTCTCTAGCCATCTGGTAGAAGAGGTGTTGGGCTAGTCTTTGTACAACGCATGTGTGATCTGGTAATTCAGTTGTACACAAATTGTTTGAAGGTTACTTTTTGTTCACACGTTTGATATAATCCCAGTAAAGCAGTAATGATTCTGAGTCCTTTTTTTTTCAGGCTAGGCGGAAACTCAAGTTATCTCAAAATCATCTGTTTTGTAAGTTAATGTAACTGGCGATTTGCAGCTCACAGAAGTTTTGATCAGAGTTGTGGGATTCATAAGGTCGGGACAAGAGTAAGACGAAATTCTAAATTAGATAATTGAAAACAAATGCAACACAGATGTTCTTGTATTCATTATAGACACTACTATGAACAAAAATTGAAAATTAGATCAATTAAATACAATCCACGACAATTCAAACAGAAGGCTAAAGAATTTACTTTATTAACTGAATTTCAATTAAATTAATCTTGTTCATTAAAATTCAAATTATAACTTAAATAAATTAAATCATGACAAACATAACAACAGAAACAAATAATTATGTTCGAGATAATAGAACGTTAGATAAATACTCGAGCAACACTGAAAATCACTCCCAGATAAAGTTCCCTACCAAAGGAACCTAAAACTTAAAAGATCTGGAAGGTTCGGGAGAGCAAAACGGCCAGATTAGAACTCAACCCTGTAAAGACAGAGAATGTGCAGGGTAGTGCCACTAGTTTGATCAGCGCATCCCACTTCTTTCGCTATCTGGTAGGGGTGGTGTCTGTTAGTATTAGCTTATTAGTGAGAAGTATTAGTGAGAAGTGAGTATTAGTGTATTAGTGTATTAGTGTCTTTGAGAAGTTGGTAACTATTCTATGGTTGGTTGTGGTTGGTTGTGGTTGGTTGTGGTTGGTTGTGGTTGGTTGTGGTTGGTTGTGGTTGGTTGTGGTTGGTTGTGGTTGGTTGTGGTTGGTTGTGGTTGGTTGTGGTTGGTTGTGGTTGGTTGTGGTTGGTGTACGCTATCGCTGATCCATCATGGAAACATGGAATTTTCAAATTTTAGCGATAATATTCTGTATTGCTTCACTTTAAATATCAAGCTATGTATTCCTAAAGTTCAATAGTTGGTTCAACTCTGATAAATGATAAAACTCACTCCTTTGGAGAGGAACTTGCTCTTGTTGGCGCAATAAGTTGCAGCGGCATGACGAGCAGTATAGTTGTTCACCTTCTGCTTCATTTGTACCACTTGGCTCGTCCTAGAAACAAGTCTTATAGTTACACCCGGACTAATTTACTATGACTGATAACTGGAGCCCTAGCCCGTTTTAAATCCTTAATCTTATTTTTTATTGAAATTTTATTACATTTTTATTGCAATTTCGAGTTTCCTACGGCCAGATTTTCGCGGCCGTACGAAAAAACGTATTGATCTTTATAAAAACCTTGAGAAATGTCACTGACCTGGATGAGAGAACTTTAATACCATCATCAACTGCAGCTCTCTTCTTTCTGAAAACCTCCTTTATCCGCTCCTCTGCAGCCTCATGTAAGTCTGACGCTTTCATCACGCTTTTCTTCGCATGACAATCATACAGTCCGTCCTCAATGTAGGCTGATAATCATAAAGGGGTGTAAATCAGTGTAAATCAGTGTAAATCAATGACTTTGAAATGGTCTCAATTGAATTTGAGAGATTACCACAAGTTCTGTGTTTTGAAATGAGTTAGCTAGAGCGTCACGGGTTGATAATGATTACTTACAATCTCCTCGTTTGACTAGAGAAACTACTCTCTCCTCAGCCTCATACATAGGAATTGCCGTAGAAAGGTAGATGACCACAGACAACGTTAAAACCAACGATCTCATCATCTTTGTCATTTCTTGTCTCTAGTTTGCTAAACAGTCAGTTTGGGTTAGGTTAGTAAGCTTTGAGAATCCTGAGATTTCTTTTGTTGAGTAATGCCTGACGAACAACAAGAAAAAAATTAATATTACCACCATTAAGTATTTGATGCATTTGGGTGCACTCTATAGTCTGTACCCATTACCCATCTATTAATGGCTTCTTTTGAACCTTTACCTAATACCCATATCTTAGAACTTGGTATAAACCTAGTAGTGACTTAACAAAACAAATGGTAAGGTTACCAACGTTACCAACCTTACGCAACTGGGCAGGCTTGTCCGCCGTGGCTAAATGGATCGGCGGCGGCGTTTCACTAAAATTACACCGGCGGCGGCGGCGTACGCCGGCGTGAGCCGTGAAATCAAGGCCAACTAAATTGAGGTCTATGAAATATGAATATGATTATGTACTTAATTTGGGTAATTTAGACTTAACTTCAACAAATGATGTTGGTATATTGTTATGTTATTATCTGCTATCAAATAAAAGTTGAGACAAATTGATGCAATTATTTTATTTAAGGTAAAATACATAAACAATAAATTATTGCTGAAATCAATAGATCTCTCAATCTTTTTTGTTGGAAACAAAATCATAGTTTTTAGAACAAAACAGTGTATATTTGAAATTCTTAACATTCATCCTAGATCGCTGACTAGAAAGAATTAAACCTGCAGCCGACCAGGTCCTTTCAATTTCCGCACTACTGGCAGGTATACAATGCACTATTCTTACTATGTTTGAGAGTATTGGGAAAGTTTTTTGCCTATTAGCCCAAAATCTTTAAAAAATCTGTAAAATTTCTTCTTCAGTCAAACTTATGAGTAGGTATAAGTTAGCTAAAGGTGTGTATCATGTGTGTGTTGCCCTAGCCGCTAATCGCTATCAGTAACACTGATATCTTCAAATGAAGACAGAATTATTTTGAAGTCAGAAAATGCACGCCGTACGCCGATGTACGCCGGGGTGTATCGGCGGCGTTCGGCGTGGCAAAATCACCCGGCGGCGGCGGCGTTCGGCGGCGGCGGACAAGCCTGCAACTGGGAATACAGAGATTTTCGGTGTTGTTGATTGCCGTTTTTTATTGCACTGGCAATATTATTATAGAATCTATAGTCGTCATAAAGAACTATGGACTTGCATAACAGTGCAATTCAGACAATGAAAATATCAATATCACGTGATTCATCTCATTCTAAACGTGTTTTCGGTGGATTTATAATAGTGGACCATCAAGTTTATGATTGCAGAATGCAGAGTTTGTAGTACTATAAGGGAGCATTCACATATTACGTCTGCAAGTTTTTGACCACGTCTGAAAGTTGATCAACAGCTTCTGTCAGTTGCACTCTTAATGCAGTGGACAGGAAAATGAAATGAACAAATTGTGTCAAAACAACTTGTCTTGCTGCTCCACTAGGAACCAAGATCTTAAACCTGGTAATCAAGTTTTTTATGGCACATGAGAGTATAAATTTGGTGATTTCTTGCATTCTTGCAGAGCGGACAAGAAATCGACAAATTTCACCTCTCGTGTGTCAAATCAAACTCGTCTTGGTGCTCCACTAAGAGCTAAGATTCAAAACCTGGGTATTAATAATATGGGACTCGTCTTGGTGCTCCACTAAGAGTTAAGATTCAAAACCTGGATATTAATACTATGGGACTGGACACAAACATGACTCATGCACCTGGTTGTAAATCAGGGTGGAGGCCCCGCGCTAAATCAAGATAGAGGTATCATGGAGACTGGGGAGATTTTACTGTTCGAACCGCCGCATCTGATCAAGTAGAGTAAAATTATCTAATACCCCAACAAATATAGCGGGTAATGTCTGGTCTGGGGTTGATCAAAGATGGGCGCAAGTGATTGCTTTAACCATGAGATCGTTATTAATCATTATCATCTAATTGGAAATATTTATTACTATTTACTGGTTGCTGTTTTCATACACCCCTGCAACTATGCGTATGATATTGATATGAGAGCGACCCACCTAGTCTGACCTGTTCAAGAAACTGTGATTTTGCAAGCTTTATCATGGTAGCTGTCTGTGTGACTCATCTTTAGCCGGTCAAACTTGGGCACCAGTTATGTAGTTATAATTACCAGGTTGCAAGGACAAAAGAAAATCGCGGCGCCGCGACAACTAGGCAAAATCGTGGAGAAAATCTCGAAAATCGCAGCGAAAGATAATGTATTAATTGCACGATTAAAATTATGAATTAGGGGTAGACTGGTTCGTAGGGTAATGACTTGCTAGTTGGTTTGTGTGAATGACTTAAAGGTTAAATCCAGCATTATGGCATCCTTTGTATACTTTTTTCACTATCAATATGTTCGTAGAAATATTTCCTTTACCCTCATGAGTTTATGTCCATATCGTGTTCGCAAAGGTATGTTATAAAGCTATAATATAGATTAATTGTCTTAACAATTGATGACTTTTCTCATTGTTCCGCAAATCTCAACTAACAAATTTTTCACGGAGGATGGGAAAAATCGCGATTCCGCACGTGCCGCGATTTCCTTTTGACCTTGCCAGGTTGTCATGCCCAGCGAATTAAAATTGGACGTCCCATGATATAATAATTGAGAGGTCATGGATTTACTCGCGGGAGTCAGACCGACATCAACCACGTTCAATGAAACTAATTTCACATGTTAGATGCAATGATCGCTGGAATACAAAACGTTTCGAAATGAGGGCGTTACCATTGACCATTCATCATACCTGAACTAAGCTGCAGATTTCACAACAAATGTGAGATAGTTAAGTGACGATGAGCTCTCTCACAGCTATCTTATACCCTTACATGGTGCGAGAATTATACAGCTCCCTGCTCACACAGACCTGACCCTAGATCTAATAAAGTAGAGTATAAATTAGAGGTTAGTTGTCACCCCATTTAGCTCCCTCCTTCGTTTACTCTATCTCAGTATCTCGCATATTATTACTGCTATATTTTCCTGGCTCTAGAGTCAACTACCTAGGAGATTAAAGTAAAATAGTCAAGGTTGAGAATCTCGATAATGATGATATAATAGCGCCTGATGTCCACACTCCAGTGGCTCAGGATGATTAAATCCTAATTCAGGATCCAATGAACGGCCCAGAATTGAACAGACAGGTGCAGAGGCCGGATGTTAGAGGATATAAAGTTAAACAACTTTGTGGAGTCTGTGAAATTAAAGGAATTATAAACATGATTATTGAACGTCAGAACGGTGTCTACTTAATTATAATAAGTAACTTAAAGAACAAATGAAACAAAATTTCAATTGATAAGAACTTATCATTTGAACTTTGTTTCATTTGTTCTTTACAAGTTTACATTGCTCCTTGACCTCAAGTAGAGCACTGTAGTGCCGATAAAGGTAATAACACCATATTATAATAAGTAACTCATGTACCCGATCTTAAAAACGCCACGAATATGAGAAAAGTAACTAGTAAAAGATGGTTTTACAATATTAAAGGACGGTTCACTTCACCGCTGAGTGGTCAAACGTGTCCTATTGGATTCAAGTTCAACTATGGGCAAGGGAAGCTGGCCACAAAGTTCTTAGCAGTGCTAAACACTTGTTAGGCCGAAGTGAAAACACGGAGGGTTAACGATCCTTTCTTTACTTTTGGTCCTTTTAAATGGCCTTTCTCCGCATCACTGCCCCTAAATTGGGCCGGGCTATGAAACTACTAACAGAACACGACGCGCCTAATTGATATAAGTGTCGTAAACCAGGATGGGCCGAGATTCGCATTACGAAATACTGAGGTAAATACCTGGGGTTGTTAGAGTAATCCGGTCCTGAAAGTTATGAAAATAATTTAGGTATTCAGATTATGTTATGAATGTTACTTTACGGCGTTACTTTACGTCAGGGTGCCCATCGGGGATGCTACTTAATTAAATGACCATTGTGTTTTTAACGAATTTATGATTCACGGTTATTGGTTCCCAGCCAAGTAACATTGTGGAACCATGAGTAATGAAGTTTGAACCTATTGAAGTGAAACAATGATATACAACCGGAAAATATAAGCAATCAGGGTTGCGTCATATTTTTCACAACAATACAATTCAAAAGTTATTTTATTGCAGTGTCAAAATACTCACCGGTCCTCAAAATATACCTAATTTTTAGCAGGGTTGATTCAGATTAGGACACGATAAAAACTACAGCGATCGGGTGGACTTCAACTCAACTGGTCAAGACATCATCTCCCTAAGTGGACATCGTTCAAAATGAACCTAAATAACACTTTAAAGAAAAAAAATTTAAATTATCCATCTTTTAGACGCTCAAATTATGCACCTACATATTTTGAATTCCTTAATTTTGGAGTGGCATTGCAAGGAGCGCTTTGGAGTACTGTTCTTTAAAATAATATTATATCGAATAAATTACTTAAACCGATTCAAACTTAGATTTAAGATCAAATTACACAAAACATTATCGTTACAGTTCAACACAACGTCGAATGAAATAAGTCATAAAAATGTAGCCTTCTATCTAAATTTTGAAGTCGTAGAGCTATAAGTATAACCAATAACAGCCCAAATAGGAAAATCATTACTTCCAAATGATTAGGTACCCACACGTCACGGGTATGACGAAAATGCCCTCCCTTCTATTAGTATTACATCGTTTAATAGTGATGGTGTCCGAACCAGATATGTTGAATCAGCAGGGATACAAAGTACGAGATGTACAGCACAATTATTGTAAGAATGTAAAGGGAAACATGATGCAACATACGATATGCACCATTACACCACCTTCATATTTATATCGAAATTCAGGTTTAAATTAAATCGTTGTCGCAATAGTTGATTCAAGTTTCAACGCTGACACTGACAGAGCTCACACTCCTTTGTAAATGTAATACATCATGATCCAATCACAGGGCCCCTCTACATTACAAAAAGCCCTAAAGCATCCCTGGAATTGCCTACTTTCACAAAGCTGTAGAGTCAGAAA